GATAGAATATGTATATATACACACACATATGTATATATATATATATATATATATATGTGTGTGTGTGTGTGTGTATACATACAAACTTTTATGTCACATGATCTAACCCTATGAAAAATCTCGACGTAACGAAACGAGCGCGCCCGGAGCGCAATTTATCTGTCAACGCGGTTTCCCGCGGGACAAGCGCGAATCACCGGTTGCGTCTGTCCTGTCTGTCCGTCAAAAACTTTTTATCCTCAATAAACCCAACCTATTCCGTTTCCAACCGCGATCCACCGAAAAATCCCCCGGAAACGTCAAAGTCTGGCAGCATTCGAGGTAAAGGACCGTTGAAGCGAATCGGAAATGTCCTGGAAGCAACACGTCGACCGCGAGGCGACCATCATGAAAATGATCAAGGACGATCTGCTGAGATGGACCTGCGAGAGACACGCCACCGACTGTCCCCTTGACAGGCATCTTCTACGTGACAAGGCCCTCGAATTGGCTAGCAAACACGGACTGGCAGGCATGTATCCTCGAAAAACCCTCTCTGCTTTTAAGAGCTTGAGGCACGAACGGAGTTAATTCCAACGAAGGCTCTGTTTTCATATCGCGATAATCGAAGAGATAATAGACTTGTACCATAATGGCATTGTATTGAATGTCACACTCAGCTCAGGAGGAGGACGATGCCTTTTCACGAGATTCCGCTTCGTTTTACTCTCTCTCTCTCTCTCTCTCTCTCTCTCTCTCTCTCTCTCTCTCTCTCTCTCTCTCTCTCTCTCTCTCTCTCTCTCTCTCTCTCTCTCTCTCTCTCTCTCTCTCTCTCTCTCTCTCTCTCTCTCTCTCTCTCTTCCCGAAAAGATTTTATTCTGTCTAAAATTAATATTCAAGCATTTGAGATAATCTAAAAGAAAATTTGAAAAAGTTCATTAATAATATATATTATTAATTTGATTATATTAATAATTTGATCATATTCTTTTTCACTTATTATTTTTTTCAAAATTGTATTATGATTTGCGGATTATTATTGCGCGTTATTATTGTGTTATGAGCTGTTGTTAATGCATCAAGTTGTTTCTCGCTTTGACAAAGTAAACTGCGATGGTGATGAAACAACAAATTGACATTAATAATAGCTCATGACACGTTTTTAATCCGCAAATACAATATTTGTATTATTTAACATTGCTACGTGATTATCATATTTTTATCATTCTTTCTCTTTTCTATTTTAGACTTTAATTGTTCCGAAAAATGGCTGTCGTCTTTCCTAAAAAAATACGGTCTCTCGTTGAATTTGAAGGAATTTTCTGGGTCAATCTTCAACAATTACCGACTTTGGATCGACATGATGCGATCTGTCATTACGCAATATAAGCACAAAGATCTCCTCCATGTAGATGAGTTAACGATGTACTCCGACGTTTCGCCTGAGATCTTGGCGTCAACAATACAACAAAATGTGCCTGATACGACTCTAAAGAAGACGACGGCATTGTTATGCTGTAACGCTTCCGGTACCGAGAAGCTACCATTATTGATCTGCGGTTCTTATCCAGCCCTGATAACTGGCCCTGATCACGTATATGCTCACAGCGAAGATGCTTCGATAAACGACGGTCTCTTTAGGGAATGGTTGACCCGATTGAACCGTTGTATGTCGAGTAACGATCGCAGGATCCTGTTGCTGCTGCAGAGGAATCGCATTGGTGCCTTTCGAGATCTTGAACTAAGCCACATTAGGCACATCTTCTTCCCCGACAACTTCCCGCCATTGTTGAGACCGCTGAAAAGGGATATCTTCCATTTCGTCAAAATGGCTTACAGAAAAAGGTATATTCATAAAATTTATAACAATCGTTTCTTATTTATTTATATTTTGCAAGCTCGTAGATTTAGTAAAAATTTGCAGGATAATCTCATCTATAATTTAGAAGCAATTATTATGCTAAAAGTTAATGAAATTTTAAAGTATATTTTATTTAAAATGCTTATCTCGTAATTTTGTTTGAATAATTCATTTTGTTGTTTCTACTATGTTTATTAAGTATAAATAAATAAATAAATACAAATATTTAGCTTAAAATTCTTATCGTTCTTGGATTTTAATATAAAATCTAGGAATCTGTAATATAAAAATTTCATATATTATAAATATACATAAATACATTTCATAAATATATATATATTTTCATATATATTTCATATTTCATATATTATGAAAAATGTAAATCTATTGAAGATGGTTGTATACAACTTTGTATATAAAATACGAAATTAAATAAATTATAAAATTAAACTATCAACAAAAATTCCGCAAAATTTTCAGCATTCTTGCTATTGTGTAGAGATGATTTTTACAAACTTTAAAAATACCTTTCAGAAATATTTCAAAAATTTTATAATAAACAAAAGCACATGCTTTAAAGGCTTAATTATCTCGCTTGCAAGGAACTATCAGAAATATTTGTCGATCAGAATATTTTTGTCGTAGGTATGTGGAAGGAATCAGAGAACGCAGACGCCAATGGAACGCCGAGAACGTAGTGAGAAGTTTGGTGGAAGCGTGGCGGGAAGTTCCGCGGGATCTCATTATCGCCAGTTTTCAACGAACCGGCTTTCGAACTGACGATTGTTTCCTGGAAATCCATTGCAATGCATGGAAGGATTTGGAAACAGGTATATCTTTTAGGAAATTTGTCACGTTCGACGACAATCTCTCGACAAGGACATCGCGTAAACAACACGTGTCTAACGACAAGAATCATAGTTACAATCTCAGAGCTAGAAAAACCGTCAAATTAATTGACGACCAGCAGAATTTCACGAGAATTGATTCGAGAGAAAAGGATCTGATCGTTGATCACGCAGAGATAAATATAAATTTGCGAGAGATCTACGTGGAAAGAGATGTTGATTGGAAGAGGAAGAACCCGTTGAAGAGATCGCATGACGAGGCTCAATTAGACGAAGACCTTTATAAAGAGGCAAAGTCGAGTGATGAATCAACGTCGAGAGAAAACGAAGATAACGTCGTTATTTCAACGTCGACGAAGGTCATCGACATTCAGACGATTGAAGATGTACCTCAGAGTAGTTTTAAATCCGATGACGTTCACTCGATGCAAATGAGCGTGAACGAGTCGAGGACAGACGCGGAATACGATTGTAAGCTTGATAAAACGGTAAGCAATGAGGAGAGACGTAAAAATAGCCAAGCATTGAGCAACGAGCGATCGATCAGATCTCTATCGAAGATCAACAATGCGAATGGGAACGCGTCGCAACAAGTGTTCGACGATACGTCTGCTGAAGATTCTGATACGAAGGAGTCAAACAGGGGGGTGGTTTCCTGCGCTACCCCGAGAGACGAGATCGAGTCGGCCGATTTAGACGGAAATGTCGGGCATTCCCCGCAGAGATCATTGAAAAGGCGACGCTCGCGTTTTCTCGATGCCGAGGAATCCGGGAACAATTCTAACGATGGTGAATCAGAGCAAAAAAGATCGAAATCCGATAGCAATTGGACAAGACAGTACGAGACGAGATTCGTCTTCGGTCCGTCTGACTTGGCGCGAACTGTAACTACTGTTTCCGCCGAGATACATAGTGATAATGGCGTGTCACAACAGAGACCGAGGCCCACGTGCGAGACGGAGAGGAGTATCTTCACTATAAGGCCCAGAAGAGATTAGAGATATAATCATAACAGTAGCTTTCAGTGAGTAGATATATTTATTTTATTTTAAGTGCACTCTTTATCCTTTGAAAAAAATAGCAAGACAAATCGTTATATTATAATCTTATTATAAACTTATTTTGTATGAGAACGTAAAAAGTAATATATTAATAGATATTAATAGATAATTAACAGATAATTTATAAGAAGTAGTATATTACTTAATATTTCTATTTTTTATATACTTCTTTCTTCTTTTTATCTTTTTTCGTACTGCTTTAAAAATGTATATACCAAAAATAATGTGTCAGTTTTTTTTAAATTTTGCAGTTTCGGGGAAGACACAATGGATCTTAAAAGAATTTAAATCACGGAGGATTGTGTGCAACCGAACATCCAATCATGTATAGAAATCAAGTCTCAAAAATAACAAAAGTTAATTCGAACTATCGCTACAAACTTTCATAACGTTTCTCACCGATGATCGCACTAATGTAAACGATGATTTGTTAATTGCGATTAATAACGAACCAATTAATCACAATTATTACGAAATAAACTTTTGAACAAAGAAACTCTTGAGTAATTATTATTGCAAACATAATACAGCATACGTTATATAGAGAAAGAGAGAAATCTATTCGCATAAACTCGCGTTTTCTCGCGTTATCGCAATCGAGCGAGCAATACGGAACTTACAGTTTGAACGAAAGTTAATAGTTTTCCCGGTAATTCGCAAAATCGTGTCCCCATCCACGTGGAAAATTACATAGCCTCGGAAACATCAATTCAGACTCGAGTCTCCATTGTGCGCTTCCGCCGGATTTCTTCGCCGGATGCAATTTTCCCGGATCGCGTTTCCGTATGAAACAAAGTTGCGTTCCCGTCCAGAGATTCGTAATAGACTTGGAGGAACGCGATTCCCGGACGACGTCTCCAACTCCTGAA